AAAAAAAAAAAAAAAAAAAAAAAAAAGGATAAGTTTTAAAAAGTAGATTATTTCAGCAAAAGCTTCAGTACACATGAGATCAAACCATAACACACAAATAAATCCAACAAAGCAAAGCAAACCCTAGGTTCCAGACAAACAAGGCTATGATGAAAAATAAAAGAAGAAACAAAGACAATTTGACATCAACACACACATTTTCTAGTTGTCTAGAGTTGTTTTTTTTCTCCTACCAAAATTTACCAAAAAAAGAGAAAAAGATGATGATTCGCTTCTCAGCCTATAAACTTTGTCCACCAAAACTCTTTCTGTTCTAATTTCCTCCCTTTATGTGTTGCATTTTTAAAAGTTGGTCAAATGTGAGCTTCTTCTCAAAAGGAACAGAAACAGAACTGGCACTGGTGTCATTTTGGCTTAAGAGAGGTAAAACATAGGAACGCAGACTAAAATACACTAAGAGGGTAGGACAATGGGACACATCTTTAATAAAGAGATTCTCTGTTCAGTGCAAATGAACGGTGAGTCTTGAAGTGACCTGTGGCGCTTCTCATCTTATGTTTTTTTTTCTTCTTATCATCACTCATCACAGTGATATGGAGGATTTATTGAAAAAGTGCCATCAATTTAAGAATCTACTCTTAACCAAAACTTTACTTTTTTTGCTATTGCCCTTTTTATTCGTCATGGTAACCACATCCTTTCTCTTGCAGTTCTTCAGATGAGCAATTTCGCTGGAACTCTCAAGGTAATTCATTATTACGTTATTTTTTCCTTATTTCTTACTCAAATCTTTTCATTTTATGCTTCTTTTCTTAAATTTTGTCACCCTCATTTACTGATTATTTTAAATTTACAGCACTTTGGTCAGCAGTTGTTGTTTTAAATGTGCTATATAATTAAATGTGACTTTGACTTTAATGTCTCAGACATGCATGAAACTTGTGTGTTAGTTTTTAGAGGAATCATGTATGCCATAGTCAAAATCATTGAGATTTGGTAGTTGTGATAGCTAAATAGATTATTGCAGGATCCCGACGATCAGTGAAGTCGCACCTGCAAACATGTATCACCTTTTTAACCCACAGCTAGCCTGGGAGAACAGTGTTACCCCATATGTTTAAAAAACATAAATAAATAAAATCAAACATTTTCACTACACACAACAACATACATATTCCCAAATGCACTTACACATACTTACCAGTGCATCAAATTCACTTTTATAACAGCAACTTCATTTCCAGCTTGGCAGCTCCCAGGGCAGACTTATCAGGGCCCTTTACCAGCATATAATCAAAATGTCCCACGGCTCATAACCAAGTCACAATGCGTAAGGCTTTACACACTGTGAGAGGAAAGGATTGGGGTTACTGCCCAGAAAGATCTCATCTCTCTGCCTTATACTCTCTTTCCCGTACCTCCCTCTTTCTCACAGTCTTTGCTCCTGTATGTGTTCCTCATCATTTTTCTCTCCCACAGCTGATGGACAGAAAGATATTGAGGATGAGTTGACAACAGGTCTGGAGTTGGTGGATTCCTGCATTCGCTCCCTTCAGGAATCAGGAATACTAGACAGTGGAGAACGTAAGTATACTTGCCACTATCATCGTGTGTGTATGTGTGCGTGTGTGTGTGAGGGGGAAATAGTTTCAAATGTTTGGTGTCTGTTTAAATTATACTTATTTTAGTCTATTTTATGCTATGGTCAAGAGTCAACTCTAGCAGAAATGCCACTCAAACAAAATATTTCAGTCTAAGAGTATAAAAATGCATACAAAATATCATTTCAGGTTCAATTTTTTATATTACCCACATATTTATTTATTTTTTTTAAATTTGAACAAGTACTTGATCAAAATCTAATCTAATCCTGACAGGCACTTAAGCCACAAAACCAAAATTCATGTTACTGTTTCCAAACAACACATTTAATTGGTTTGTACAGTCAGTGCTTAAAACGTGGCGATAGTCTTCACAGAGTGCAGCAGTAGTTAGTTTAAATATGTGAGCATAATGGTAGCCAATGCTTGTTAACTGTTGTTTATTAACGGAGGAAAATTATCCCTCACCCATTGGATAAGTGGAATAATTGCCACAAATCCTATTGTTAAGATTTAATTTTTGCTATGATTGCAGCTCTGACCTCTGCTCACAGCAAACAGCTTGAGCTTTATTCCAGATTTTTGAGTTGAAATGCAATGAAAAATACATTTTCTAAAATTATCTGCAGTTTGGCATTCAAGATCCTCATTGATTATTTGCTCTAAAGCAAATCGTTTTAAGTCGATTTAAGGAACACACGCAGCATATTGCTCTCTTAATTTGTACAAGGAACTGTCCCAAATGCCTGTGGACCTTGGATTCTGATAAAGAAATTCAAACAATGATTGAGAGGCAGCCCGTGTATAAGGTCATGCTAAATGTGCTTGGCATTTTCTTTGCAGGTCATTGGTTTTGGAACACTGCATTCCCATTTCACTTATTGCCTGCTGACCTTTTTGATAGTTGATATTGTAGTAATGGATGGCATTTTAGAACTCACACTATGAGGGGTGATACACAGTGAATTTCTGTGTGTCGGCTTACATGTTACATCTTGCAATGCATGTGGTTTCTGGAACTGATAGAGTGGGCTAGGTAGTGTGGAACAATGATGTAATGTTTTGCACACACACACACATCCACACAAAGAGGCATGTCTGGCCAAAAGTTGGACACGATAAGCTGTTTTTGGTATATTTACTATAATTGCTGGTTTGCTTTAATATGATATGGATTATCTGTTTAAGCATATGCCGAATAGCTACAAGACGTGCCAGATCATTAGATCCTTACCGTTTTTGTACCCTGTAGCGCCCAAGTCCCTGTCCAAATAGATGGCTCTCTCATTGTGAGCACTCTTGTTATGGGTGTCCCACACCCAGCTGTTTTTCCCATTTTGCAAATGGGTTTCTACCACAAGCTTAACAATGTGGCTGTGGATATCTTTCAATAGGTGTGTGTGATTTTTCCCCAAAAAAGAGTGCTGCAAATAGCTAAGCAGTAAATACGTACTGTAGTGAAATGTTGCTGTCTTCACCAGAAGGTTCTACTAAACAGGCTTTTTGTCGGTGAACACAAGTGTCAGCACAGAGCAGCACAACTCATAAGTAACTGTACACAGACGCGCTAATTCTTTTTTTTTTAAAAAAAGTAATGTTCAGGTTTTTATTGCGATTTTAAATCCAGCATTCCTAAAATCTTTAATGACCCTTTTGTGTGTATGTCAGGTGCACATGAGTGAGTATTTCATACACTGCAGTAAGAATACGATGCTCATAATTTGACTGAGCTTTTGAAATATTTATATCAGCACAGTCGAACTTACATTTCCATAACAAAACAGAGACGAGAGTCAATACTGACACAAAAGAATTTAGATCCCTACAACCTGTGTTTTTCATTTTACCCACTGTTACTCACACATGCATATGCTACTATACACTCACTCGTATTAGGCATTTGCACATTTAATGTCACATGTGCGCAAGCATACCACGCCCTTAATAAGCCCTTATTAGCTACTTCATAATCAGTCAACTTTGCTATTTTCTGACCATTCAGCAAAAACAAATTTCTCAACACATGTTTGAACATCGAAACAACCATATGCATTTTTTTTGTCACGTAACACACACGATGTAACACACACCAAGGCTGAGGGATGATGAGTTTGGGAGCTCCCACTCAAACTGCGTAACACAAAGTGCTGTTTAATAATTCATAAAAAGCGAGGGATGAATCAAGATGAGAAAAGGCAAGTCTTTTGTGAAGGCGAGAAGCAGAGGAGTTGATCTTGGTTCACAGCACAGAGGCTCACAGGGAGGGAAGGATTCAGGGAGAAGAGAGCGAGCACGAGAGATGGAGTGAGCAAGCAAATAGATATAGGAGAAGAATAGTAACGGGCCATTGTTCTTTAAAGTGAGAAAAGAAACTAACGAGTCAGTAAGCTCAGGGGAAAACACTTATTGTAGGCTTTATTAGGACATATCCATGATGGTTCAACTTTTGAAATTGGGAGAGAGAAACAGAAAGAAATCCCCACATTCTTTAACCCTGTTCATCAGAATCTTTACTTAGTTCTATGTTGATGGGATGATTTGTATATGCTGGTTCGATGGGGCTGTTTGTTTGTTTTTTTTAAAAAAAGATTGGATATGTTTATATCCACTAAGATACAGTATTAGTGTGCATACTGGATATTTATTTGCATTAAAAAATAAAAAATAAATATTACCTCTACCAGCTCGGTCACTAAGCAGCAACTAAGCAATGTCTGGCATCTCTAACCTACAGTGGCAACATACATGTTATTTGACTTAATGAATGTTAAGCATCTTAATGAATTATTTATTTGCCATATCATGAATATGTGAGGAACCTAATTACTTCTTAATAGAGCACACGTAAACACATATATGGAAAACCTAACCTCTACGCACTCACCGCCGACTGGCTTGTAGTTTGTAACCACTCCGTTTGGTTCACCACATCATTTCATAGACATTTAAGAAGATAGTCCATCTAAAAAACTGCCTTATGATGTTCTTAGCTTGGATCAATATCAGCTTTATGTGCACAGCATCGGAATCAGAGAGAAGGGATTATTATCTGATGACACAGCAGCGACTTCATCGGGTGGTTGAAGTAGTGATGCTCTGAAGCAGACGGTGAATTTGTGTGCGTGTAACAAAAGTCATTGTGGTCGACGTAGTCTTTTGTTTTAACCCTTTGGAAGATGGTTTGGCATTTTAGGTGTTTGAAGCCAAATTTCATTGTTTTTCAAAGCTCAGTTAACTACTGGAAAAATAAAATAATGTTTCTAATTAATTCCAGACCAGACCATCATGGTCCGCCTTGAGTAAAGTTTTTTTTAAGCCAACAAGGTGTTCCGTCTATTACAACTTTTTTCTTTTCAGCCCTCCTCCTCCTCCTCTCATCCTCTCTATCTCCCTGCTCCTCCTCCTTCTCCTCCAGTTCTTTCTGTTCCTCTGTTTCGGTCTTCCTCTGCTAATAAATTATGTATGCTATCTCCAACTCACGGAGTGCTGCACTGCTGCACTATCTGCTCTAAATTGCTGCTTGCTCTCTCTCTCTCTTTTCCCTATTTCACACCCCCTCTCTTTCTCACTCTTAATCTGTCTCTCTCACGCTCTCACTTGCTCTGTCACAAACTCAACTCAACCCCCTTTCTATACAACCATACGCCACCTCTGTCTCAATTGGTAGGACCGGCTCTTCTTTCCCAGAGTTCCTTGCAGCTCAACTCCACCCCGGAGGCTTCGCTCCAGTACTCTGCCAGCTACCATAGCAACCAGACCCTCGCCCTAAGCGACAGCATCTCTGCAGCAACTCCTCAGCGCAGCGGGCAAGTTGGAGGAGCTGTGCACAGCTACAACCAGGTGGGAAATACTTTTGAACAAAGAGAATATTGAGCGTATAAGTGTTGATGAGAACAAAACCGAGAGCAATTCTGTCACTGGCTATCTTTGCAAACCACAATGTGTGTTGTGAGAAACTTTCCATTTGTCTAGGAGGCTGGTGGTCACAACATTTTAGTATGGATTTTGGCTTGGACGGTGACTAATTAGAAGTGTGTTTTCCTCAGTTTATCAGTAAAGCTGCATTAAAACCATTTGCTTATGCAAACTTGTAAGTACTTGTAGTGTTGAGAGGTGCTGGTCTTCGGATTTCTTGTCGCTCCAATTTTTTCTTTCAGAGACTCTGCGAACATTGCCCTTCATTTTCCTCTACTGGCTTTACTGGCTTTTTTTAGGCACTGTGTTGCATAGCGCTTATCCAGCTACATGTAACTCTGGCTCTCAGTGCTCTTAGCAAATGTGAATTTGTTTGACACCATAACTGAGTCTATTTGATCAGGGTAGAAGTGCATATTTGTACAGAATCCTATTTCATTAGCCCCGCTGAAGTGCTTTAGTCCAGTTCTGCCTTTTCAAGCTGCCCATTGCATTTTGTCTCTAGTGTGAAGGTGATGATAGACATAGGCAAGTTGTTTAGAAGAACACAGGTTATGAGATGCTCACAGACCTAAATTGGGGTACAATTAAATACACACAGAGAAATCTCTGCAAGTGTCTTGTTTATAAAGACTTAAAATAAAGCTACATGGATACAAAGACATTAACCACAGCAGTGTGCTGATAGAGAGAAAATCTATCAAATTACTTTCTAGCCTGCAGCTGCCAATTATTTTGAATTTCCATATTCTTAACATATCAGTATTAAGTATTACTGCAAACACACACACACACACACACACACACACATGTTGTATGAAACAGAAACCCACTGATCTACTTAATCAGTGAAGCAGCCAGCGTCTGGTATAAATCTTCCATTTATGACAGATAATTATGAATACAAAATGAGATCAAATAGTTTAAATGAATCATTTTAAACTCGATAATTAGTTGACAATAGTCGTACTTTGTCGTGAATGGCTTTTGGTATGTTTCTGAGTCTTTGGGCAGAATTTTGTACTAAAGGTAAATTGGTATCTGCTTTCTGCTCTGTCAGTTTGCACATGCATTTCTGTGGTTTGTTATTTTATGTTCATGTGTCTTATGAAAGAAAATGATGTAGGAAGTGTTTTTTGTAAATATATTTATTCACATCCCCTGCAGTCACACCAAAGCTAGTTTCAGATAAAGCTTAGATGCCTTGCCTTAATAAATAAGAAACAGGAGGAAAAGACAGAGAGAAACACTGATAGGCTGGGATATAGATGGATGGACAGATTAGGAAAAAAGGAATGTTTACTCTTTCTACAGTGTTCCTTGTCCTCTTTTCCCCTCCTCTCATCTTCCTTCCCTGTCCTCTCTGCTCACCATCTCTGTCCATGTGAGCGAGTGTGTATCTCTCTGTGTGTGTATCCTCCCCTCTGATGTTTTTGGCTTGTCAGTGTAATGGGGCTAGTGCTGTCAACAGAGCTTGCTGCTCATGAATAGCTGTATGCATGCCAGTGCTGCTAGATAGGCAGGTGCAGCTTGCATGCATGGGTAGTACATGTATGTTTTTGTTGATCTTCTTCCATTCGCGTGCGCTTGGGTATGTGTGTGTGCACGCAGGGGCTGCATTCCTTTACATGGATGCATGGTGACTATCTGAAGGAGGGAGAGAAAGTAAAAGGTCTAGCATGTTGCTGCTCTTTTTGTAGGATATTTATAACCCTGAGAGGCCAGGTTTTAATAATTCATGGATACATGGCACCTCAAACATCCCAATGTTTTACTGGAGGAGAAAAAGAACAGCACTGCAAGATGACACGGAGTGAGATCGAGAAAGTGCTCTCCCTCGCAGTGTGTGTCAGGCTTTCTGTCTGTTTGTTACCTCAGCCAACAATTCATCTTTTACTCATTATTTATTCACCCATTGATTTATTTACTCATTCGTACACTCTTTAGGCCTCACTTTGTGTCTTGATCATTGTAGCACATCTGTAGTGTTGAACATAGTCTATTAGCCACCATTAACAGGAGCTCTTCCCTTTATCTCATAAGCTTTAAGTCATTCACTTGGTTTCATAATCTGCTAAACTAACACCAAGGACCTCTACAGTACTTTTAGTAATTCATCGTTGGAAAGCTTTAGAGGTACAAATAAACACAACAACATTATTCATATATTTATTTAAACCATGAAATCTTCAATTTTAGAGACATTTGTTAAGTTATTTACAAATGTTAATTATACGTTCTTTCACTCTGTGTGTCACCTGCTTACTTTCCTGCCTGCCACAATATCAAGTTTTCTTTAGAAAAAAACATTATTTCCATAATGAAGGACAAATATTCTGTGTTTTAGAACGAGATAATATATATTAGGTGGGGGAAAAATTTTCAGCCCCATCTATTAGAATTCATATCAGATTTGGCTTTGGGTGCTGTAGTTTGACTCCCTGTGTCGGAGTTCTAGTGCTCCAGCACTCTACATTTGAATCACTGGAAGACCCATTTTGACCACTTGCACAACTGTGCACAACTCTTCTACTAAGTTTAAATAGCAAATCTGCAACTCCTAAAAATGTTATTTTTAGGAAGAGGATGGAGCTGCAGGAACAACTGCTCCATCCTGCCAGCGCCATGGCATTCCATATTTATCCAGTAATATGTAGAAAGACACATGTTGATACAAACTACTGCAGAGTGCAATCCTCATTTTACCAATTATACGTTCTTTCACTCTGTGTGTGTCACCTGCTTGCTTTTCTGCCTGTTTTCTTCCATAAACTGTACATCAGGTATTTTTTTTCTAAGATCCCCCCCAGCCAATTATACTGTAAATTTCACAACCCCTTTTCAAACCTTGTCCTCAATAGATACACGCCCTTATCACAAAGCAGGAAAATAACCAGAGACCCAGACAGACACTGGAAACAAAAGGGAGATTGCATGCTGGTGCTTGCTGCTACATTTATTTGTGGTAGATATGCTGAGAAAGCAAGTGGGCTTTTTTTTGTTTGTTTTGTTTTGTTTCTCTGCACAATTTTGCAGCTGCAAATACAAACAGCACAACTCAATACAAACACAGCTCCAGAGTGTGTTCAGCTATTGTGAGCTACTGGTTATCAAATGATCAGAACATGTGTTAACTGCATGCATTTTAGTGTCTTTTTGCTGTTCAGTAAAATATAACAGACAAAGTAAATATTCTAAGGACTAGCAGATTACATTAATGTCAAGTAATGCATTTTCATTTAAATGTAAATATATATTTATATACATTTTGTATCTCTCTTTTCAGATATGCATCTATATATTACTCAGTTACTCAGATTGTCTGAGCCAAACTACTGTATAGACAGTACTGAGAATCCTCCAAGGTGACTCAGTAACTGCATGATTGCATAATATGGCTTTCTACATCTGAAGCCGTGTCAGTCTAGTAATAATGGATCTGAATCACCTTTACAGCTCAAACTTACACACAGGGCTATATAAGGCTCAGCAAGGTCTGACATATGCTCCCTTTACTGTCTCGGGAGAATAAGGGGAATATATATGGATAGACCAGCCTATTTTGTGGAGTAAAAAGGCTTTTCATATTCTGTCTTTGACTCACATACCTTTTTTATCTGTTGGGAATTCACTGCATATTGCCATCCAAGCTGTAGGTCCACTGTTCTCATTAAAAATTGCCTTGTAAATAGATGTTAAACATGAACTAGTTTATAATAATAGATTTAGTTGTGTTAATTGTTTGTGAACATCGGGATTTTAATATAACGGATTGTAGATAATAAAATATGACTATACAGTTGACTACATAACTTTTTCTACCTTTAATAGATGGTGTGACAAGGCTTTACAAGAAATGATTTCAGTCAGCTGAGCTCAGAGGACTTCGTTGTCGGCTTCTGTGTGTCTTTTTTGTCATCCCTCTGTGTTCTGTGGGGATTTCATTACTAGCGCTCCCTAGGTTCATTCAAGAACCCTCAAAGGCTCGACTGAACTCATTGTGCATAAAAGGTTTTTTTTTATGAACACTACTCTTTATTCCGTTTCATCCCATTTATTTTCTTAACCCCGTCTCTCCCTTCAACTCTTCTCAAGTTTATCCTCCCAAACTAATCACCTCCCTGTCATGCTAATCTTCAGTTGCTCTGTCTCCCCTCACAACCCCTCAGGTGACATCAAGCCGTGCAGCCCAGCAGCAACAATCACAGACTGGGCCGGGGTCAGGTAAGCCTGATCACATCTCCGATTGCTTTGCATGTAATAATATGAGAAGGCCTGACATACAGTTGATATGTCAAATGACATATGGAGACACTGACCAACAACCAAGAAACCAAAAATATGATACTAAGAGAATATTTTTAGAACGTGCAGTATGAATAGCTTTATTATATTATTAGTGCATCCTTGATCTGGGTTCAGAGTTATGGGTTATTTATTTGCAATCCTCACTTAGTCTTTTTTTAATTGTTAAAACTGATCACTCACTGATAATGATACCCAGTGTGCTCATATCCAGGCAAATGTCTGTGAATGCGTATGAATCTAAAATTCTAAGCATTACAGTATATATGCAAACAGCTTTTTTAAGTAAAGTGTCACTGATGCACTTAAAATAAAATCTAAATTTTGACCTTTGTGCCAGTGTTTTGCTTTTATAAAAATTTTTTTGCATATTACCAAGTTATCAGCCACAGGAAATCTCCAGCTTTTTAAAACCCACTTTAAATCTATTTCACATTATTATTATCAGGCTGATCACATTTTGCTGTCATTCTGTAACATTTACATGTTCATTAAAGTGTTTTCCCTCCACTTTTTTCCAAGGTATCTACTACTCCAGTGCCACCTTACCTGCCCAGGGTTCCCCTCTGTCAGGAGGGGGAGGCTCAGGGTCCGGTTCCCCCAGTAAACTTCAACGTCTGGGATCAGCCTCTGATGCACAAGGATACGCTACCACTCAGCGGCTGCCTTCCTCTTCTTCCTCCTCTCCCAAACAGTCTCCTGCTAATCGATTGGCCAAATCATACAGGTAGAGAGCATATACTGCTGCTAATACTGACATACAGTCCGTATTAGAATAATGAAAAGGCTTGAAAAATATCTTGAGAATAAGCTAAACACATGATGGTTTGGAATAGAATAAAAAAACAGAAAAGAATATAAAAGTTAAACTTAAGTCTTGTAAGTTGATTGTCAGCTTCTTTATGCCAGCATATAAAAACATATCCTGTACATGACACATGACAAATGATTGTTCTTAAACATGAAGAGCAATCAGTTGTTTGAATTTTTTTAATATATATATATATGCAAATAAATGATGCTACTTTGTTCATTTGTCTTTCAGCACCACAGTTGCTGTGACAACAGCAGGAGGGGGCGGTTCCCCCCTGAGGGTGGCATCTCCACCTAATTCCACAGCAGGAGGGGGAGGGGCCAGCTCCACATCTTCCCCTCTTCACCAGGTAGATCATTCAACAGCTATACAATGTGGACACACACAGAAAGGAAATGTATTTTGTGATAATAGACTATAAAATGAGAAGATTTTTATGTGAAGCATACATTTAAAGTCCATTAAAATTACCACGGGTTATACAATATTATAATGAATGCAAATGCAAATGCAACTGCGCTTAGTGGAATATAAATTCACTTCTGCGAAGTGAAAGGACTTTAGACAAGTGCTATATAACTGAATGGTGTCTCACACTAATGCATAAAAATACTTATTATTTTAATTGTGGGAATGTGTCATATCCAGTTTGTATGTACATAAGGTTAAAGCTGGTTTAGCTTTCTCCTCACCTCTTTCACAGTGGCTGTAATCACAGATTGCTTGGAGGAATTTAGTTATTGTATCCATTTTGTACATATTATATTATTGTTATACATTTACATTACAGTTTAACTGATTCTACAGTAGTGATTATGTTTTTCTAAACGATTGAACAGATGTGTAATTGTTAGTTGTGTTATTTGTTGTAAGTGTAATTTTATGACACTGTGTAGTTATACAGTGCATTAAAACCACATGGCTGGTGTTACTATTATATTATTTACATTCTACCAGATGTTTGGTCACAGAAATAATAACACAGGGCAGCTGCAGGGCAATTATTTTTAGTTAGATATTTAGATTTCTGTGTAAATTACATCCTTGACTCTAAAATGATTGGACATTTGCATTTATACACCCTTTTCCAAATGTTTTGCATTCGAACAAAACTAATTTAGCAATGGAAACTTAAAAACATGTCAGTACAAAGACTTTTTATCCACACCAATCAAACTGAAACACAAGCCATGCCCGCTGTTACATATTTGGCTGCCACACTCGGTATTCTTAACTATTCAATCCAGCAACTCTCGTCTCTGCAGATGAGTTCAGGCATAGGGAGCTATGCAACTCTGTCTCCCAAACGACTGGCAGCTCATCACGCTTCTGACCAGTACAAGATCTCCCACGAACTCTACGCTACTGCTACACTGCAGAGACCTGGAAGTCTGGCAGGTGGGGGTTGACACATTCATGCATTGTCGTGTATAGTTTCATGTGCTTGCACAAAACATAAACCCTCCAAAATATGTTATCCGTATTAAACTAAGCATACTATGAATACTAAGGAGATATAAGTAAATCGCTCACAGTGTATCTTCGATTGTCTGTTTGTGCTGCAGATGTAGTATCTCGTATCAGTGGTGCATTTGTAGTCTAATTGTTACATTTCATTGCATCACACTGCTGTTCTTAGAAATGTCAATTGCTATGTTTAAATCTATTGAATTAGCTGCTCTATGAAAAAGCACATCGCTGTGCTGTGGTTGATATCTCAGGCTATACTTCAAAGGAGGCATCAGTGTCTCTGAGGCTGCCCGTTAGAAAGTTTAAACTTTAGAATGAATATACTATGCTATCAGCAGTTATATTTGAGAATTATGAGCTATTCCACTCACAGCTGTGTACCTGCTTTAAGAATGACTTAAAATTATTAAAATTCCTAATTATGTCTTCCAATATGCATGTCCAATAGCTGGGTGTAGGGAAGGACACTGATCTTAGTGCAGCCAGTTCTTAAAAGTACCAAATGGATTTACATTAAGATACAATCTGTTTGGCGTTTCCCAGGGTTACATGTACTAAAACCGGTGTCCAAATATCTATAGACCCAACTATAGGCCTATAAATATTGACATTGCTTTCAATACACTAGGAAATGATTTATCTTCTTCTTGATCTGCTGTGTTTTTTTTTTCTTACTGTCAGAAAGGACATTTTTAGTAGTTTAATTGTAACTGTAAGTGAAGTAAGGAAAAGGTTGTTCTTGGTGACTCTGCTAGAGCATCCATTGCCATGGACATTTTTTCCTGTGTGTAATTTGATTTTTTTCATCAAAAAAAAATGAAACATAAAAAATAAAATAGATGAATATTGATTGAACCATGCTACACGGAGTAAGTTTAATTGATCAGTTCTTTAAACTTAGAGCTACGGTGATAGTAACATGACCTTCATGGTTTACCCTGAGGGTGCAACTGTGATCTTGACGCATTGCCTCAGGTTTTATGTCTCCTGAAGGCTTTAAATGGAGTAGAAAAGAAAGACGTGAGCAGGAGTGGACTGGGGAAATAAAATTAACACAATTTGCTATCATGTGCATAGACTACCAGATTGTCGTTGATTGCATGAGGGCAATTTAATGGCAATTCATGCTGGCAATGCACTATGTTTTATTTCACCTGTAAGGTCTGATAGTTACCACATTTTCAAAATCCTACCAAGCATGAATTGTGTGTAGATAGTGTTACTCAGAAAATGGCTTATCGCAGTGGATGATGTGCTCCTAGGAAAAGCACAGTAGAGTTCATCTGAGTAGCATGTTTGGAGAGGTACTTAGCAGCTTCACAGCTCCTACTTTATGCCAGAGTTAAGCTGCGTACAACAGAAATTGCCTAAAAAAGACGTTTACTGTCTGTGCTTTTTGTATGAAGGGCTGGTGTGATATAGTTCACTGGGTCTAAATATTGCCATGGTAGCAATGCAGGATAATATATGCAGCGTACAATATATAATGTGTGGTTTGATGCGGAGCTTTATTGGCACTGAAAATAGTTGCTGGTTAACATTAGAAACTCAAAGCTGTGGAAATTCAATATATAGTTTTGTTCTATTTTTTAATTTATGCTTCTCAGAAAAATTGTTGTAACAGTCATCTTTAATATTAAATCTGCCGTTGAGAACTATACTACCATTCTTGGTGGAATTTCAATATACACGTGAATGAGCAGCTCTTTGCTATATTTTTGTAGGTAATAATGTAGTTTGCTCTATTTTTTACTAAACAGCCAGGACTGTAATTCACCAAGGAGCCAGAGTTGGGTTTGGCATGTTGTTATTCATTTTAAATATTTTACTGAATAAAACATCATATGAGGGGATCTCTCTCGCTCTCGCTCTCTACATCAGCCTGTCATTTTTGTCTTAAAGTTCCTCTTCCTCTTTAAAGAAAGAGGTCAGTACTTCCATGAGTGGGCCCCCGTTAGCCAAAGAGTAAATGTATAATGAAATAAAACCAACTCACCAAGACTTCAAAGATGAAAGGCACTAGAGGAAGCGAAAGAGCTCGAATGAGTCATGTTGTTAATGGGTGTGTCCATGACTCTAATTAGTACTCTTTCATGCATATTCTCATATTGTCTTTCAGTCCTGTAAAATTCACTGTATTTTTACCTGGGGTCCAAGGCAGCTCTAATATCTGTTCTTCCAGTATCTATTATTCTTTTTTCTCCCCTTATGCTGACACCCTTGTCCTCTTGCTGTTTGAGTTCACCATCTGGCTACAGCTGGCCAGTAGAGTATGAAGGGATGCAGCCAACCTTTCATAGGCTTGGGAGGTTAACAGGCCAGTCAGATAACCACACAGCTGAAAGAAGGACAGAGTTGAGGTGCAACAGCGGTTTATCATCTGCCATAATAGTAAAGAAATAGGATAATTGGTTGTTGTTCATTCTTCGGTGTGCATATATTTAATCCTATTTAGATGGCAAAGTCTATTAATATGCATTGATTTCTGATATAACCTGACAGATTGAGGTATTTGACTGTGTTAAATTGATGATGGATTCACACGGAGGTTTGAATCTTCGTGCACTGGCCCGTCATCCCGTGTAACTTTCTTGGCACGCGATATGACATTAGCTCCACTGGACCATCTCAGTCACTCATAGCTTTCTATGTGTATGTATGACTATTTATGTCTTTTTATTTCTATCTCACACCATGTCCCCCAAACCCTCCTGACTTGTCTTCATATTCCCCCACTTTACTACTTTTCTACCCTTGCCTAATTTTAGTTTTGGGTCTCCTTGTCTT